TATTGAATCACAAGCTCTCAACTTTTCTTTGCCACAGAGGGCTCTCTCACTCTGAGGTCATACCTTGGGGTCAGGAAGTGTTTCAACATTTCTGCGCGTTTTACAAGCCACCGGGATGTCAACCAATCGTCCGTCTGATAACAGGAGATTGAAGATAAATCTCGTCAATAATATATTCAGGGCACTAGTAGAGTGCCAAGTAGTCCTAAAGGTAAAAGGTAGTTAGTTCTCCGTTCACACAACCACGGCAAAAGTGTATCCCCCCCCCCTTTCCGGGTAAATTCACAACCTGCACTGAGTCAGAGTTGGCAATGGTCCAGTTGTCAGGAAGACAAATAACCTCACATTCCCCAGTGTTGTTTCATCTACGTGACCTTTTGACACTGCATATCATACCTGCTATACTAATAACACACAGTGGATTTAAATCTATACACCATTTGGCTACAATTTACCCAAAAAAAAACTTTAAATAACTTTCCATCACAATATGTCACCAATACATACATCTCGCGTATTGCGTGCAAGCCGGACCTAACGTATGCCATAAAAATCGAATGATTTGATTTTGAACTTGATTTTTTAATATATAACTCATTGTCGAAACGCCGATCTTTCAGATGGGAGTACAGCGTTGAGACACCTTTACTTTACTTCCTCAAAACCGATCTTCGTCAAATGTGTATATTTATTAAATATGTCGGTTAGACATGCCATATCGGGTTTCAGAGACTACTGGGTCCATTTCCAATATGTTTTTAATGCTATCAAGATCTGTATTTCACATGGAGCTGGATTTTTGATAATTTTCTTTCAGTAAATATGAGTAAATAAATGGATGTTTCCATGGTGATGCGAGTTAGTTTGAAATATTTTGTCTAATTTAGAAACGTAGGTACTAGCACGGATTTTCTAGAAATATTTTTTGCACGTATTTTGCATTGTATTTTGCACGCTTTACCTTGTGCTTCAAACACCACTTCATCGTATAAAATACTATGTGAGACACATATCTTTGGTTTTCACGAATTGCACACACATTACACCACTTTACGTGACTGAATTACAAAATCAGCTGACTGTGACGAGCATGGCGTCCATGTGTTATTTTGTTTGCTCTGTATAATATTAACTGATTTAACTTCGCCCTGAGACAGATTTCCGCGAAATTTGGAGTCAGTGGAAGCAGTAAAATTGTGTAGCAGTATAAAGGTATGACGTCACGGCTACGTAGTTATTAATTCAATATTCTCGTTTTCACAGCTCACTTTGGTGGTGCACAGACTCTTATTTACAAGGACGATCTCCACGAAGCAGGCACCAGATTCGTGACACGTGATGTACAAATCGTATCGCTGGAAGAGAAGAGAGTCTTCGTTGCTAGTACCTGCAAACAGTTCGCTGGATCCTCGGCGAATGTGACGGTTCTGCTCAACAACAACCCCATGTGGCTTCCCAATGCAGGCATAGTAAATTTCTACGTAGTCGACGACCCCGCAAAGGTACACATATTTTAGCGATTTTTTTTTAAAAGTACACAACCCACGCGTATTAACATGTTTGTATAGTTTACATATTGGATATGTGTGTGAAATAGGTCAAGTGAAGGTATGTAAGTTCTTGCATTGTAATCTATGGGGATTGTAAATGTAGCCTGAAATCTATTAAGGGTTGAAACGGGTAGATTATATGTCGACTATGACTTTGGCTAATCTACGGATGATACTATTTCTTAGATGTCATCAGATTGGCTGGCTTCCAGATCGGGGCCCGTGGGTACAACTCTGATAATAATATAGAGCAAGTCGCCAGTACATACATACCCCCACCGTACCAAGCCCCCCCCCCCCAGAAAGAGACAGTATCTTCATCATCGTCGAAAAATACCAGTTTCACAATATTTTTCAAAGACCAGATGTCCGAGTTCTCGGAATCACAACAACTGCTGCTATTCTAGGTTACTACTAGTCGCACTGATTTGATACAGAACAGAATCCTGGCAAATCCTTCGTTTTTAGCCAACACAAATTTGGACAGCCGATTACTAGTATTTTATATAATAGACTCAATAATTCAATAAAATGCTATGTATGCTCTCAGAGAGAAACTTTGAAAGCCTGAATACAGATTGTTGGTGATTTGTACTGTTTCATTATGAATGCAGCACGTCCGTTAAGTGCCCTTTGTAAACACCACAGGTAAAAAGGTGTTTTATAACTATTGCCGTTGGTGGCGTAGTACGGTTCACACCATTATACATCAGCCGAGAGAATAAGTGATATGAAAATAATTTATTGACGATTTGTGTCGACCTGGGGGATTTATCAAATTTCTGTTTCATTCATAATCGGTCAGGTGTTGCATTAGTTGGGTCATACATTTTGTTTTGAATCGAGTCGAGTGGTTTCAAAATAGGCTACTCACATTTGATATTTAGCCTATCTGAACATCCGTTATTGTACACTACACGTCACTGGTAAGGTCCGTCAAAACTATATGCTCTGTTTCAATTATTTGAATAATCAGTACTCATTAAAACATTGGTCTCCACGCGTGTTAGATGTTACGTACCTGGCGAGGCGACTAGCCGGCATGACCAAAAATGGCGGAAAAGTTCGTAAACGTGTTTCTCAGTGAATGCATTCCTGATGAACACACATCTATTAATCATGAGTCACTCGTTACGTATACATTCCCTCACCAATCAACTCGTTGAGCTCATTCAGTGGAACGAACATCACACTATTTTGCTTATCTAAAAGAAACAGGTTTTAAGTCGTGGGTATTATAAATAAAAAAAAAACATTGTGAAGGAAGTTGCACTCATCTTTAACAGAAGACTTTGCGAATTCTACGAAAAGTTCCAAAACACTTGAAATGTTTGACCTAACAGGCATTGGTTGGTTAAAGTTTTATAAATGTCGCTAGTACACAAACATCCGTGGATATGCCTCATAGATTCTGAAAACTTGCATTATTTTATTTTGCGAAATATTTGTTTTTAAATTGCTGAATTGTTCGATGTGTTGCTATAATTGTAGACGCTTAGCTTATATCCACACTATATGGAATATCCCCAGCATTTGGTCACGTCTCTGAATGAATGAATGAAACTAAGAAATCATGCATATGCGCTGCGCGGTGACAAGGGCTAGTACTTATGTCGGTGATTATATCCCCAACAAGTTTAGCACTTCTATAAAATTTTCTTTCACCAGATTTTGGGAGTAAAGTTGACAGTCAGATCATACATTGCAAAACATATTCTTGAAAAACAAATATAGCAGACTCCTTAAAAATTTACTGCGGTCCAAAATAGTACACTTACGATAAATGTCATATAAAAGAACTTGTGTCGCCTTTTTTTCTGTCATCCACGGTGGTTATTCCCCAATACAGTGACCGTAAAATGCAATTATATTGTGACGTCACAATTGCGGTTTAAGAATGTTTTCCTTTCAATAAAAAACGTCAGCAATTTTGACATTATTTGCAGATTTTCGCCACTCAGAAAACTGTATTTTCTACTAAAACTACAAACTGCATTTATTAAAATTGCGTTTTTGGTGATTATTCTGTATTTACAGCCGGAGTCTGCGGCTTTGTGTTCCAACATCCAGTCAGGACAAGCAGTGCCTTATTGCCTCGTGCCTCACTGGAATTCGACGAATGATATATACGTCATTGCCACTGCCGGCAGAGTCTTTGCTGTAACATTCACTATGACTATTCGAATCAGTCCTAAACAGTCTAAGGTAAGTCTGAGGCACGCCTTTTTCCATATATACTACCATTCTGAATAAAATCTTCGTTGAGTTATCTCGTCATTTTCATTATTTTTGGTGCCACGTGTTTTACCTTGACAGCAAAATCCCACATGTTTAATGGTAACCCTCCAAAAAAAGATAATGCTAATAAACAAATATGAGATAAAATAAATACACATAATAAATATATATATATATATAACACATTTGTCAGCACATTCACATACTACATATATACCACATTACTTTACACCATCTATTGTTTACGAGACAGATGTGCATTGTCAATAGAGGGATATGCAAAATACTTAGTGAATAAAGGACTCCACAGTGCCAGCCCATTTTTACATGTTATAAATCATCGCTACCAGAATCAGAGGTTGTTATGACGTCATAGCTTTATATTGTCATATTTATATTATTGAACTCGATTTTTATTTAGAAAATGACCTCCAATCATATTTAACATTTTTTTTTTAATTCTGATGGTGATTTAACATGGTAACAGCAATAATGATTCCATTTTGGGTTTATATTGGATTCGGAGTAGTTTAGTGATAGTATAGGCATTTTGGGGTAAAAGTTGTGAACCAGACTTTTTAACATAATGTGAACATGCTGAACCCGATAACCAGGTTCACAGGCGAAATTTTGGATTTTTAGTTGTCTAATTTGCATATCCAAATGGCCGCCAAATTCCCCGTCTGTTGGGAATTCAATATTGTTTAAGTAATAGAACAAGGGCGAGTTAGTTTCAAAGACATAATGATCAAAAATTGGTTT